GTCTGAGAGCATAATTCCTGTGATTTCGATTCCATTGGTGGTTCACATGGGTTGTATGGCCCCGAGCATGGCCTCTCTCGGTGACTTCCACGTGAGCTTGAGAAGAATGTCTGTACCTCGTTGTTGAATGAAGTGTCCTGCCGATGTTAGTGGATGCGGTGGATGGGTGATGCTGGTCAGTCCACCTGTGTTCATGGAACTTGTGCATCTCTGGGTCTGTCAATGACTGATAAGAGGGTTTTGAATTCTCCAGCTGTAGGAATGGATTCATCTGTTCCCACCAGCACTATTTTCAGTTTCTGCCTCATGTGCTCTGATACTCTGTTGTCGATGCATGCACATTAGAAATTGTTGTGTCTTTTTGGAGAATTGACCCCTTCATCATTGAAATAATGTCCGTCATGATCCCTGACGGTTTTCCTTACTCTGTGGTGTGTTTTGAAGGATCATTTCACTGGCCACAGGTTTCTAGTTTGATGTTTCTTTAAACACTATAAACATGTCATCCTTCTTGAAGGCATGGTTTCTGAAAAGAAGTGTGATGTCGTTCTTATCCTTTTTCTCTGGGGTAAGGTGTGACCGCGCCCCTCTCCCGCTTCTCCCACCCACTCCCAGCCCTGCTCTAGATTTGCAGAACTGTTTCTTTGTCTTTAGTGATCTGTAGCTGAATAGTTTAGATTAGGCATCGTTGGTGTTTTTTGTTCGTTGTTTGTGTGTGTTTTGGTATTTATCCTGCTTTCCAATGTTTTGATTTTCCTGGATCTTGATTTGGTCACTCCATAAATTTCAGAAAATCCTCTGTCATTGCTTCAAATATCTCTCTGTCCATTCTCTTCTAGGAATATTACGTGTGTGTTACACATTTTGCAATGACCTACCAGTCTTGGATTTTCTGTGCTGTCTTTGTAATCTTTGTCTTTGTGTTGCTTTTTTTAATATTAATAATTTCTTAAAATTTATTTGACAGAGAAAGATCACAAGTAGGCAGAGAGGCAGGCAGAGAGAGAGAGAGAGAGAGGAGGAAGCCGGCTCCCCACCAACGAGAGAGCCCGATGCGGGACTTGATCCCAGGACCCCGAGATCATGACCTGAGCTAAAGCAGAGGCTCAACCCATTGAGCCACCCAGGCGCCTTTTGTGTTTCCTTTTTGGAAGTTTCTACTTGACATTCTTAATGTCAATGATTCTTTCCTCTATTTTATTTTGAGTCTCTTAATGAAGCCAGCACAAGCACTCTTGATTTCTGTAATGGTGTTGTTGTCCAGAATCATGTTACAGTCTTAGAGTTTCATATCTCTGCTTACATTTACCATCTCTTCTTCTTCTTGTGCACTTTTCCCTTAGATCCAGTATCATACATGGAAGGGACTTTAACGTCCCAGCCTGCTAACCCCATCACCTCTGCCACAGGAAGTGTGATTCTCATGCTTGCTCTCTTGGGTCTTACCTGTAGTATGTCTTGTAGGGTTGTGTCGAAAGCTAGATACTGTGTGTCCTGGTAAAGGAACTGAGATAGGTGGGTGTTAGGGTGAGGTTTTCTGCTCCTCTGGCTCGGGGTTAGAGTGAGGTACTTGCCGGTGAGACAGGGAGGAGATGGCACTGGAGTTGAGTATTTCCCTCACCTCCGTGGCTTAGTCTTTGGGAAACCCCAGTTAGACTCTGGAGACATAGTTTCACTTGAGGCCAGACCTTTCTAAGAAGAAAGAACTCTTTCGAGTTTCTTTCTAAATGGGAATATTCCCCCTGTCCCTGCCAATGGAGAAAACTTCCCTTCAAAAAGAAAAGAAAAATATGTATTTGGTATGCCCATCGACCTTTCCATTTTCACTGCCTATGGGTCTGATGACATGGGCCAGGGGAGCTCAGAGGTTCCTAATCAACATGTGAAATTAAAGGAATAACTATGGTTTTCTGATTGCCCTGCACTGATGCACTCTCCCCAACAACATTATTATGACTGGTTTGTTGATAGCATGGTGATATTCCAATATCCTGGCAAGATATGGGGTTTGGCCTCAGACTCTCATCATCCTATAAAACTTTTTTTTAATTTTTATTTTTATTTATTTGACACAGAGAGAGAGAGAGAGATCACAAGTAGGCAGAGAGGCAGGCAGAGAGAGAGGGGGAAGCAGGCTCCCTGGTGAGCAGAGAGCCCCATGTGGGGCTCGATCCCAGGACCCTGAGATCATGACCTGAGCCAAAGGCAGAGGCTTAACCCACTGAGTCACCCAGGTGCCCCTCATCCTGTAAAACTTCTGAATGAGGAAATATGTTAATGGTGTCAAAATGAGGTCTTGCCTGGATGTTATTGAGCTTTAATAACATCAGGGTGACTCGAGTCTGAATTGCCTGGCTCCCCTTTTTGGAAACATCAACTGTCTTTTCTGTCATGGCTTATGCTTCATCTCTCGTCATGGGCCACTCTTTTACTCATCCGATGGCTTTTACTTCTTTTTATGACACTGCGTTTCAACAGTCTGGGAAACTTCATAGCACCTGATGTGCCATACCTGTATGTGAATTCAGGAAACAGCCAACTCTTTGTAAGGTTTCAGGAAAGCTTTGTAGAGAAGAAAAGAGGCATATCCTTGACACAGCCTTTGCTCCCTTGCCTGCCTGCCTGGCTTCTTTCCTCCTTCCTTCCATTTTCTTTCTTTTGGGACTTTAAAAAGTCCCAGGTTCTATACTTCAGTGCAGATATTGTGTTATAAAATATTTAGGAAATATGCTAAGTGAAATAAGTCCAGTAGAGAAAGTCATTTATCATATGGTTTCACTTATTTGTGGAACGTAAGGAGTAGCATGGAGGATATTATGAGAAGGAAGATGAAAATGAATTAGGGGGGCAGAATCAGAGGGGGAGATGAATCATGAGTGACTGTGGACTCTGGAAAGCAAACCGAGGGTTTTAGAGGGGAGGGGTGTGGGGAGATGGGTGAGCCTGGTGATGGGAATTAAGGAGGGCACGTATTGCATGGACCACTGGGTGTTGTACAGAAACAATGAATCCTAGAATACTGCATCAAAAACTAATGAGAGAGACACAGGACCAGAGCATGGGGACACAGCTAGATCTCGGGATGTCCGGCACCGGGGACCTTCCTAAAGGAAAGCACCAGAAGCATTCACAAAGGAAACGAACCATGTTCACTGAGAAACAACTGGCCATTTTGGAATCCTTGCTTAGCAGGAACCCATACCCCGCTTCCCAGCCTTCAGAAAGAAATGGCCTCGAAACTGGAGATCCAGCCCACCGTACTGCAGGTTTGGTTCAAGAACCACAGAGCAAAACTCAGGAAAGCTAAACAGCAGTTAGCTGGAGTAGAAGTCAAGACCAGCACTTCCAAGGGAACCATGGATGCCCCTCGAGGTTTCCCCCATGGTGCCTACCAAGATTCCCTGATTTATACAGATCACCTAATACCTTCCTTCCAACTCAGCATAAGCTCCAATCTGAAGGTTCTCCCAGACCATTCTGTTGGCCACAAAATCGTCCATGTGGGCGCTGCCAAGCCCCTAACAGATACTCCATTTGTCCCATTATGGAATCTCAAATTCTTCCCACAAGTTTCACTGCTAATTCTCTTGGTTCCTCATCTCCACAAAGACCTTCATGAGTGAAGCCAGACACAAAAGGTCACACATACTGTAATGATTTGTGACGATCTCCATCTAAGAGATTTGAGATCCACGCAACGTGGATGCATCCCAGAAACACGCCCCATGAAAGACAAAAAGGACACACAGCACCTGTCGGGTAGAATCGAGTGGAAAGAGGCACTCACCGAACTGCCAGTGGCGGGAATGTTTTGTGTTGTAATTAGGCTGGCAGGAACTTGCACTAAATTCATCTGAAGACACAGAACAGTGATACTCTATTACATGTACCACGAAAAGCAAATACGGGGCAGGCTGAAGGGTCAGCCATGGTGGTAATCATGTTGCGATCTATAAATGTATCCATCAATGCACTGTTCACCTGATACTTGTATCTCAGTAAAGCTGGGGACAATGTTCAAATTCTATCTCAATAAACATAAACAATGAAAAAAAAAAACGAATGACAAACCGTATGGTTACTAACATAAAAAAAAAAGCTAGGGAAATGTGAAAAAATGAATATTTTGTAAATGTCTACATGACCCCTTGTCACAATTAAATAGGTTGAACTTTATTGAATAGAATATGAATAGATTCGGGGGTGAAAAATAAGTTATACACACTTGTGCTGTTTATCAGAAATGGATTGTGAACTGTTTTGACTTAATCAGGAAATTCTAATTTTGTCTTCCTTTTTAATCCTGTAAATTCATGCTGCTAAGCAAAGTGATCATTGTAATATCTTTGGATTACAATCGCGGTACTATCTGTACTATAGATGTTTACTCGTAATAGGTTTTGACATCCAGCTTATGTTTGTTTCTTCCTCTCTTAGATAAAGCCTCGACAATATGAAGGTAAGATTTTGGGCTTCGGTTTTCTTTGCCACAAATTCTCGGTACCGGTGTATGATGCGGGTATAATTGGACGAGGGATAAATATGGTGACTTCTGATGTCTCACTGACTTGTTAAGTCTGGAAAATGGTTCTCTTCCCCATGTGGAGGCTAAGTGACAATGTGGAGGGAGTTGCCATCTCTAAGAGACCAGGAGGAGGAACACCTGCTGGGACTAGGCAGAATACAAGCTGTAATTTTGCAGAGAGATGTTTAGGAGGCAAGTGATGATGACGGCATGAGGTCTGGAGTGAGTACTTTGTCATGAGCTGGCTCTTGCTGAAATGTCAAGAGGAGAAAATTGTCTGAGCCGAGCAAACCGGCTACACGTAGAGAAGAGGGCAGGTATTGCCACACAAAGCATGTGTCACAGGAGAGGATTAAACTGTGGTTTTGAGTCTGAAGTGGAGGGAGGCTTTCCTGCCAGGGGAGAATGAATGGAAGAGGCCTGTGCCAGCGGGGATAATGGATAGTGTCTGAGGCTCATGGATTGTGGTGATTGCATGGTGCTGGCTGTTGATGGCCTGGGTGGCCGCCTGGCACTTAGGAAACCGTTGAATGTCATTGTTCGTTCTTGTGAGTGTGGCAGTGGTGCCGGTGAGAAGAGAGGTCTCAGAGCAGGAGAGCGCTCACAGTGGGCCAGGTGAAGAGAAGTTTGCACTTTGAGGAAAGATGAGAGAATTATTTTTTAAGAGATTCTGTTTATTCATTTGATAGAAAGAGAGAGAGAGCGCACAAGCAGGCAGAGTGGCAGGCAGACAGAGAGGGAGAAGCAGGTCCCTGCTGAGCAGAGAGTTGGATGTGGGATGCGATCCCAGGACCCGGGATCCTGACCCCAGCAGAAGGCAGACCCTTAACCAACGGAGCCACCCAGGTGCCCCAAGATGAGAGAATTAAGTGGCTCTTAGAGGAGTCTGTGTTCTAGACCTTTCATGTGTCCTCCAGCTGTGATCAGGCTCCTCTTGAGTGTTGTTTTCCTGTAAGGGTGGAGCATAACATTCTCCTGTTGCGATGAAAAAAGCTTGTCTGATTGGGTGTGTGCATTATCCGGGCCCTCCAGAGACTCTGTGTAACGTGGAGATTGTACCCAAGTGTGTTTATAGCAGAGATCTTGTCCTCCAGAGCCTCCAGCCTGGCTTTCGTGAAAGATGATCTGTGAGCAGCAGAAAGTCTTTGGAGGCCTGTGAGTTGTCACTCACCTGACATTTGAGCTTTCGTTGTGTGGAATTCCAAGTAGGACCTGGAGGTGGACGTGGGACTGAGCAGGACCAAAGGATAGTTTTGCTCATTTTGGGTTGTTTGCAGGGACCTGCTTTTGGATCTGAATTATTGGAGGAGAGATGTTAGTTGATAGGATGCCTGATTTTACTGTCTGAGCTCTGGCGATGACATCAGCATTTGCAGGGATTGAATTTTCCAAGAATGGTGCTTACAGATGGAAGAAAATGAGAAGACACTTGATTGCATTTCCGTATGTTTGAAAAACATTTTAAGTAGGAATCTCACTGATATAGGAAGTCTTAGGTTTCAAATGCTACTACAACTTGCTTTCTTCAAGCACAATGGGAATGTTAGCAAGTTAGTGACACCCAAGTGTCAGAGAATGTGTCTCTGGTGCTAATACACTGGGATTATTCAGTGTCACTGTTTTTGCTCATTATCTTAACATTCCTTTTTCTCCTTTCAGTTACTTTAGAACAAATCCGGATGAAGATTGATCACCTTAAAAAAGAAAACAAGGATCTAGAAAAAAACATAGCGAGTTGGGAGGAGAAGGTATGTGTGCCCTTTCAAATATTTCTTGTGATTTCATTTTGGTTACCTCCCCCTCTGGTAGTTCATTCTATCGATCTATTTTGTGTGATCCAGAAGCAGTCCTTGAGTAAGAGAAGCTTCACAGATGTAGCACACTGCCTTTCTCTTTGAGAAAGGAGTCACTCATTGCTAGAGAGGTTTCTCTAACATGCTATTTTGGAATTCTGATTCCTTGTTCATATGTTTTATAGGTCAGGGAAGCAAAGAAGCAAGGAGAAACAAAGAGAAAACATGAGCTTTCCCTTGCTCGAGTACATAAGTTGAAAGTAAGAATCTTTCTTTGCCTGAATTGTGTTCTAAACAGAAATAAAAGTAAATGAAGTATCATTATTATTAGTAGTAGTATTGCTATCATTTCTAAGATTGATTTATTTGAGAGAAGGAAAGAGTGAGGGGAGGGGGTCTGAAGGAGAGAGAGAGAGAATGCCAGGCAGACACCGTGCCGAGTGTGTCGCCTGATGCAGGGATCAATCCCATGACCCTGAGATCAGGACTTGAGGCAAATGAAAGCAGGAGTCAGACACTCCACAGACTGGGCCACCCAGGTGCCCCAAGGAATGAATCATTGTTACTCATTCAACATATATACATTTCAATATATTTTCTTGAAGGAGAACATCAAAAAGGTGGAAGAGATTAATGAAAATTTGAAGGACTCCCTTCATTGTAATCAGGCTCTCTTACAAGCTGAGAGAGAAAAGAATATCAAGAACGTGGACATGGTTAGAGTTAGATGTTAGTTGTCCTCTAATATGGCTTGGGAGGCTTTTGGTTCATTGGGGGAGGTGAGTGCGGCATAGTCTTGTGCTGTTGACGCAGTAGAGGATGGGCGCCTGGGAACTGCAACTCCTACTGAACCGTGAGCTGTGATTTCACTTAGGACCACCCCGATGAGGTTTCCAATTTCAAGGTCTAGGAAGTGTAGTTTATTTCACAGCTGGGTCATCATCATATTCAGCACTGCCCTCCAAGTTATGTAGAAAATCCCACAAAATACGTGATCGGTGAAGGGCGACAGCAAGCCCAATTGTATAGTAGAAGATTATTTTCTATCTGTTCCACTAAGAAAGCCATTTGTGCGGTTTTTGACATGAACTACTTTCTTGACTTTCCCCTTATTCTATTTATGCCTCAAGGGCTTTCTTTGTTGCCCTCCATGATCCTGTCCTCTTAGGTGCCCTCATATGTCTTTTCTCAAATCTGTCTTAAAGGGCCAAGATGAATTGGGGGATCAAGAGCTTGGAGCCTTGACATCTAAGAACCAAGAACTGAAAGGTATTTTGTTGTGGGGGAAGAAATCTCCATATGGTGGCAATGAGTTTGCATCGGGCAGGGAAAGAATGCCTTCCTGCCTTCAAGGTCTTGCCCTTCTCCTTTCCCCATCGAAACGGAGTTCTTAGGTCATGGCACAAACACACAAAAGCAAACTCATCCTTTACAGAAAGGAAAACGTTCCTGGAAGACCGGTGTAATGCCCTGAGTTCTCAGAAAACTGCTAAGGAAGCAGAATTGGACCTGCTCAAGAAGAAAGTGGATATGGTGGTGGAGTTCTCTGAAAAACGAAAACGGACTGCAGAAGAGTAAGCTATTGCTGTGTTGTCATAGATACCGTTGTATGATTTTTTTGTGGTGGCAAGTCTAGGTAACTGTATTTGGATCTTCTGTAATTGGATCGTAGAGTACTTTTGCCAAATGCATTCTGTAGAATTGTGCCTGCCCTTCCTATCTTGATTTGTGTAACCTGCATTTTCCTTTCTGTTCTAATGACTTGCCACACGTTGGTGTGTGATTCATTGGGGTAGAAGGGGAAAGGTACCAGCATTAATCACTTTGATACCTGGATCCCCTCTGGGTCAGTCTACATTGTCCTTTCATGTTCACTCTCATCACGTGCTCTTACCACTCCTGCATTAGGTCCATCTCTTGTTCAGTATGAGACTTGGGTCCAGAATGTGGAGAGAAAAATGGAATTCTCTTCCTGCAGAAACAGGGAAAGTTTCTTTGTAGAAAGTGTGCTGGGGCTCCAGCAATACTGGGTCCCTTCATCTGGCGTACTACTGAGATCATTTGCTGCAGCCCAGTCCCTAAGCAGGCCAGGGTATTTCCTGTCCACCTGATTTTCTTTTTCTTTTCTTTTCTTTCTTTCTTTCTTTTTTGGGGGGGCGGGATTTTATTTATCTACTTGACAGAGTGAGACGCCACGAGAGAGGGAACACACTGGGAGTGGGAGAGGGAGAAGCAGGCTTCCCTCCGAACAGGGAGTCCAGTGTGGGGCTCTATTGCGGGACCCTGGGATCATGACCTGAATCAAATGCTTTTAAGCAGATATGTAATGACTGAGCCATCCTGGTGCCCCTCCACACGATTCTCTAGGTGTAACTCTTTTGGATCCCAACCAAAGCCTGCAGTTTCACTGAGTCTCATCTTTGCTGGCTGGACCGGACCTTCTCTTGTTACATTCCAACCTGTCCCCAAAAGGTTGCTTGTTCATTTACTTTGTATTCACTCGCCTGTTCCAGAATTCACTGATGTTTCCTGGGGGAGATTGGCTCCCACTGCCAGGCTGACTTTCTCCCAGGCTTCCTTCTTCTCCATCCGGTTATCGTGTTTCTTCGTGTGCTCTTTAGAAATTGGGTGCATTTACTCACAAGTTTGCTCTCTTGTCCAGTGTTTCCTTTTATATCTCAGGAGGAGATCAGGACATTGGAGTCGCTCATTCATGTGGAAAAGCAGAACTGTTCCCTGTCTCCCCCGGAGACTCAGCTTTGTGTTACTCCTTCCCACACTGGGGGTGGGGGCCGCTCTCTCTCACAGGCACCTGGGTTCTGTTCATTGGTAAGTTCTTGGGGCAGGTCCACTGTCCTGACCACATTTCTCTCTTCAACACCATATTCCTGAGCCACACACTGACTGCCACTCCAGAAGACATTTGCTGAAGGATAGTTGAGAGACCAGAAGCAGATGCTCTTGTCCTTTTCTTTCTAGAGCTTTTGTCTGTCTCTAAGTCTTTCTGCATGAGATTCTTGACAAGTGTCCTGTTGAAACCTTGTGAATCAACACCATGAACAAAAGAGTCGAGGGCAGCCCAGCGGACCAACCTTTCTAAGCATCGCTGTTTGCTGCCTTCACCATCCATGCACTTGGTCTTGTTCAAGAACTTTGACTCGGGGCGCCTGGTGGCTCAGAAGGTTAGAGCCTCTGCTTTTGGCTGAGGTCATGGTGCCAGGGTCCTGGGATTGAGCCCTGTATTGGGCTCTCTGCTCAGCGGGGAGCCTGCTTCCCCCTCTCTCTCTGCTTGCCTCTCTGCCTACTTGTGATCTCTCTCTGTCAAATGAATAAATAAAATCTTTTAAGAAAATGTTGACTCAATGGAGTTGACAGTTTTCCATCTGAAGTCTGTTCCCCTGAGATAACACCCTGAGTATGTGTCAGTTCACATGGATTATTTGCGGACATATTTTCGGCACTAAGATTGGCCTTTTCCTACACCAGGATCTTTGACGAGGGGCCAGGGGTTGTGCTTCTAAAGCCTAGAGATATGTGGGAGTGAGTTTCCATGCCAGTGAAGCCATATTCTGGAAGGTCCCTTTGGGCTGACTGTGTGGGGCACAGCCTTGGTCTGAGGATCAGGGCTCCCTATGGAGGTGTGAGACTAATGATGGGCCCCTGCTTCATCCTAATAATGTAGGATGAGTGTAGCTCATCAGGCTTGGCTTTTCCCTTTGAATTGAAATGAGCCTTCACCATCTCAAACCAAAGACGTATTCCTAGAGGGCACAAAGTGCAATGTTATTTGGTGACATGGTGAATGAATTAAAGTAGAGAAGTATAAAGACAGCCCCGATTGCAGGGAGCTTGGCCAGCAGCCAGAGTTCGATTTTTCTTTAACCCTAAACGGGGCCTTCCTTCATTTCCCTGTTGTGTTGTCAGTCTGTGCTTTTAGCGGGGACATTCCAACATAGGCCATAAAGTGTGCTGGGAGAATAAATGGCAGAAATTCAGGACCTTGGCTACTGGACAATGTATATACCTCTCCCATCTTAGGAAGCTAGAAGAGATACTTTGTGAATTAAATGCAACGAAGAATGAGCTGTTAGCTGCCGATGAAAAGCTGAAATTAACCAAAGAAGAAATGGACAAGTACAGGTAAGTTCAGACACTACATACTATTGGCTCCTGAAAAACCTGTTCCCTTTGGATTTTTTAAGAATGTTTTAATTTTCTTATAAACCTATAATGTATTATTAGCCCCAGGGGTACAGGACTGTGAATCGCCAGCCTTACACACTTCACTGCACTCACCATAGCACATACCCTCCCCAGTGTCCATAACCCCACCACCCTCTCCCTAGCCCCCTCCCCCCAGCACCCCTCAGTTTGTTTTGTGACATCTTGTTTCATTTATTCTTTTCCTACCCCCCAATTCCCCCACGTTGCATCTCCACTTCCTCATATCAGGGAGATCATATATGATAGTTGTCTTTTTCCGATCGACTTATTTCGCTAAAAGTAATTCCCTCTAGTTCCGTCCACGTCATCGCAAATGGCAAGATTTCTTTCTTTTCATGGCTTCATAGTATTCCATTGTATATATATATACCACATCTTCTTTATCCATTCATTTGTTGATGGACATCTAGGTTCTTTCCATAGTTTGGCTGTTGTGGACATAGGTGCTATAAACATTCAGGTGCACATGCCCCTTCAGTTCACTACGTTTGTATCATTAGGGTAAATAGGCAGTAGTGCAATTGCTAGGTCATAGGGTAGCTCTGTTTTCAGCTTTTTGAGGAACCTCCATGCTGTTTTCCAGAGTGGTTGCACCAGCTTGCATTCCCACCAAAAGCGTAGGAGTGTTCCCTTTTCTGCGCATCCTCGCCAGCATCTGTCATTTCCTGACTTGTTAATTTTAGCCCTTCTGACTGGTGTGCGGTGGTATCTCATTGTGGTTTTGATGTGTATTTCCCTGCCGAGTGATGTGGAGCACTTTTTCATGTGTCTGTTGGCCATCTGGATGTCTTTGCAGAAATGTCTGTTCATGTCCTCTGCCCATTTCTTGATTGGATTATCTGTTCTTTGGGTGTTGAGTTTCCTAAGCTCTTTATAGATTTTGGATACTAGCCCTTTATCTGATATGTTGTTTGCAAATATCTTCTCCCATTCTGTCCATTGTCTTTGGGTTTTGTTAACCGTTTCCTTTGCTGTGCAGAAGCTTTTGGTCTTGATGAAGTTCCAATAGTTTGTTTTTCCCTTTGCTTCCCTTGCTTTGGACGATGTTTCTAGGAAGAAGTTGCTGTGGTTGAGGTTGAAGATGTTGCTGCCCATATTCTCCTCAAGGATTTTGATGGATTCCTTTCTGACATTGACATCCTTCAGCCATTTTGAGTCTATTTTCATGTGTAGTGTAAGGAAATGGTCCAGTTTCATTTTTCTGCATGTGGCTGTCCAATGTTCCCAACACCATTTGTTGAAGAGGCTGTCATTTGGACATTGGACATTCTTTCCTGCTTTGTTGAAGATTAAATTGACCATAGAGTTGAGGGTCTATTTCTGGGCTCTCTCTTCTGTTCCATCGATCTATGTGTCTGTTTTTGTGCCAGTACCATGCTGTCTTGATGATGACAGCTTTGTAGCAGAGCTTGAATTCCAGAATTGTGATGCCACCAACTTTGGCTTTCTTCTTCAATATCGCTTTGGCTCTTCAAGGACTTTTCTGGTTCCATATAAATTTTAGGATTATTTGTTCCATGTCTTTGAAAAAAAGAATGGATGGGATTTTGGTAGGGATTGCATTAAATGTGTAGATTTCTTTAGGTAGCAAAGACATTTTCATAATATTTGTTCTTCCAATCCAGGAGCATGGAACATTTTTCCATTTCTTTGTGTCTTCCTCAATTTCTTTCATGAGTACTTTATAGTTTTCTGAGTATAGTTTCTTTGCCACTGTGCTTAGGTGTATTCCTAGGTATCTTATGGTTTTGGGTGCAGTTGTAAATGGGATTGGCTCCTTAATTTCTCGTCCTTCTGTCTTGTTGTTGTGTAAAGCAATGCAACTGATTTCTGTGCCTCGATTTTATATCCTGACACTTTACTGAATTCCTGTACAAGTTCTAGCAGATTTGGAGTGGAGTCTTTTGGGTTTTCCACATATAGTATCATTTCATCTGCAAAGAGTGAGAGTTTGACTTCTTTTTTGCCGATTTGGATGTTTTTGATATCTTTTTGTTGTCTGATTGCTGAGGCTAGGACTTCTAGTACTAGGTTGAATAGCAGTGGTGATAATGGACATCCCTGCCGTGTTCTTGACCTTAGCGGAAAGCTTTTAGTTTTTCCCCGTTGAGAATGATATTTGCGGTGTGTTTTTCATAGATAGCTTTGATAATATTGAGGTATGTGCCCTCTATCCCTACATGTTGAAGAGTTTTGATCAGGAAGGGATGCTGTCCTTTGTCAAATGCTTTTTCAGCACCTATTGAGAGTATCATATGGTTCTTGTTCTTTCTTTTCTTAATGTATTGTATCACATCAGTTGATTTGCGGATGTTGAACCAACCTTGCAGCCCTGGAATAAATCCCACTCGGGGGTGGTGAATAATCGTTTTAATGTACTGTTGGATCCTATTGCCTAGTATTTTGGTGAAAATGTTCGCCTCTGTGTTGATCAAGGATATTGGTCTGTAATTCTCTTTTTTGACAGGATCCTTGTCTGGTTTGGGGATCAAGGTGTTGCTGGCCTCATAAAACGAGTTTGGAAGTTTTCCTTCCATTTCAGTTTTTGGGAACAGTTTCAGGACAATAGGAATTAATTCTTCTTTAAATGTTTGGTAGAATTCCCCTGGGAAGCCATCTGGCCCTGGGCTTTTGTTTGGAGATTTTTGAGGACTCTTTCAATCTCCCTACTGGTTATGGGTCTGTTCAGGTTTTCTATTTCTTCCTGGCTCAGTTGTGGTAGTTTATATGGTCTCTAATAGTGCACCCATTCCTTCCAGATTGTCAAATTTGTTGGCGCAGAGTTGCTCATAATATGTTCTTATAATTGTTTGTATTTCTTTGGTATTGGTTGTGATCTCTCCCCTTTCATTCATGATTTTATGAATTTGGGTCCTTTCTCTTTTCCTTTTGGTAGGTCTGGCCAGGGGTTTATCAATCTTATTAATGCTTTCAGAGAACAAGCTCCTAGTTTCATTGATTTGTTCTATTGTTTTTGGGTTTCTATTTCATTGATTTCTGCTCTGATCTTTATGATTTCTCTTCACCTGCTGAGTTTAGGCTTTCTTTGGTGTTCTTTCTCCAGCCCCTTTAGGTGTAGGGTTAGGTTGTGTATTTGAGACCTTTCTTGTTTCTTGAGAAAGGCTTGTATCGCTATATATGTTCCTCTCAGGACTGCCTTTGCTGTGTCCCACAGATTTTGAACCACTGTGTTTTCCTTATCATTTGTTTCCGTGAATTTTTTCAGTTCTTCTTTATTTTCCTGGTTGACCCATTCATTCTTTAATAGGATGCTCTTTAGCCTCCATGTATTTGAGTTCCTTCCAACTTTCCTCTTGTGATTGAGTTCTAGCTTCAGAGCATTGTGGTCTGAAAATATGCAGGGAATGATCCCAATCTTTTGATACTGGTTGAGACCTGATTTGTGGCCCAGGATGTGATCTATTCTGGAGAATGTTCCATGTGCATTAGGGAAGAATATGTATTGTTGCTTTGGGATGGAATGTTCTGAATATATCTGTGATGTCCCTCTGGTCCAGTGTGTCATTTAAGGCCTTTAATTCCTTGTTGATCTTTTGCTTGGATGATCTGTCCATTTCCGTGAGGGGAGTGTGAAAGTCCCCTACTCTTACCGTATTGTTGTCGATGTGTTTCTTTGACTTTGTTATGAATTGGTTTATATAGTTGGCTGCTCCCAAGTTAGGGGCATAGATATTTAAAATTGTTAGATCTTCTTGTTGGAAAGACCCTTTGAGTATGATATAGTATCCTTCCTCATCTCTTTTATAATAGTCTTTGGCTTAAAATCTAATTGAACTGATGTAAGGATTGCCACCCCAGCTTTCTTCTGATGTCCGTTAGCATGGTAAATTGTTTTCCACACCCGCACTTTAAATCTGGAGGTGTCTTTGGGTCTAAAATGAGTTTCTTGTAGGCAGAATATTGATGGGTTTTGTTTTTTTTTAATCCATTCTGATACCGTGTGTCTTTTGATTGGGGCATTTAACCCATTTACCTTCAGGGTAACTATTGAGAGATATGAATTTAGTGCCCTTGTATTGCCTGTAAGATGACTGCTACTGTATATTGTCTCTGTTCCTTTCTGATCTGCAACTTTCAGGGTCTCTCTTTGCTTAGAGGACCGCTTTCAATATTGCTTGTAGAGCTCGTTCAGTGTTTGCAAATTCTTTCAGTTTTTGTTTGTTCTGGAAGCTTTGTATCTCTCCTTCTACTTTCAATGATAGCCTAGCTGGATATAGTATTCTTGGCTGCATATTTTTCTCGTTTAGTGCTCTGAATATATCATGCCAGTCCTTTCTGGCCTGCCAGGTCTCTGTGGATAAGTCCACTGCCAATCTTCTATTTTTACCATTGTATGTTACAGACTTCTTGTCCCAGGGTGCTGTCCGGATTTTCTCTTTGTCGCTAAGACTTGTAAATTTTACTATTAGATGACGGGGTGTGGACCTATTCTTATTGATTTTGAGGGGGGTTCTCTACACCTTCTGGATTTTGATGCTTGCTCCCTTTGCCATGTTAGGGAAATTCTCTACAATAATTCTCTCTGATATACCTTCTGCTCCGCTCTCTCTTTCTTCTTCTTCTGGAACCCCAATTATTCTAATGTTGTTTTGTCTTATGGTATCACTTATCTCTCGAATTCTCCCCACGTGGTCCTGTAGTTGTTTGTCTCTCTTTTGCTCAGCTTCTTTATTCTCTGTCATTTGGATTTCTATATCACTAATTCTTTCTTCTGCCTCATTTATCCTAGCAGTAAGAGCCTCCATTTTTGATTGCACCTCTTTAATAGCTTGTTTGATTTCAATTTGGTTAAATTGTAGATCTTTTATTTCTCCAGAAAGGGCTTTTATTTCTCCGGATAGGGTTTTTTTAATATCTTCCATGCCTTTTTCGAGCATGGCTAAAACCTTGAGAGTCGTCATTCTGAACTCTAGATCTGACATATTACCAGTGTCCGTATTGATTAGGTCCCTAGCCTTCGGTACTGCCTCTTGTTCTTTTTTGTGTGTGTGTGGTGAGTTTTTAGGCTTTGTCATTTTGTCCAGATAAGAATATATGAAGGAGCAAATAAAATACTAAAAGTGTGGCAAAGACCCCAGGAAAGCTTGCTTTAACCAAATCAGAGGAGACCACAAATCATAGTGGGGGGATAGAGGGGGTAAAAGGAAGCTCAGAACAAAAAATTTAACAAAGAAAACAAATAAGGAAATAATATAAAAGAGAAAAAATATGTATACATATTAGACTGGTTACTAGAACAGGGTCACTCACTTAATTTCGAATGTATTTTGGTCTCTTAGAAGAAATTACCTCCCAAAATTTTAAAGAATGAAAAACATATATAAGGTAAACACAATGAAGGGATAGAATATGAATATTAAGATGAAAATAAATTTTTTTAAATTTGTAAAAAAAGGAGTTGATAGGTAAGTTGGTTGGGAGAAGAAAGAAAAAGAAAGTGGAGAAGATTTGCTCAGGCTGGAGAGTAGAACAAGCCTGGTGGTAGTTTTAAGGTGTATTTGATCTATTAGAAGAAGTTGTACCCCAAATTTTTTAGAAGAAAAAATCCTATGTGTATACCAAAACTGAAGTTAGATACAATGAAGGATAACATATGACAATAATAATGAAGGTTCGAAAAAGTTTTTTTATGAAAAGTATTGTTAAGATAAACTAGTTAAAAAACATTAAAAGAAGAAAGGGTAAAATTTTAAAAAAAAATTAGCAGAAGAAAAATAAAATTTAAAAAAATTAATTAACTTTGCAAGACTAAAGTATCATGAGGAGACAGCCATGAATTCCATGGTTTGCTTTCTCCTCCTCTGGTATTCCGCTGTTCTCCTTGGTAAGTGAACTTGGTCTTGGCTGGATTTCTTGTTGATCTTCTCGGGGAGGGGCCTGTTGTAGTGACTCTCTGGTGTCTGTGCCCCAGGTGGAATTGCACCACCCTTTCCATGGGCCAGGCTAAGTCATCCGCTCAGGTTCGCTTTCAGGAGCTTTTGTTCCCTGAACACTTTCCGTAGAGTTCCGGAGGTCGGTAATGAAAGTGGCGGCCTCCCAATCTCTGGCTTGGAGGAGCCGAGAGCTCAGGGGTCCCACTCCTCAGTGCGCCCCCAGAGAAAAGCGCTCAACCACTCCCCTCTCCCTGGCCTTCGGCTGCACTCAGAGCTCACCCAGGCTGTGAACAAGCGTCTCTGTCTCCGGCACACAGCTCCACCTGAAGTCTCCAAACCCCTTTGATCCCTGAGCTCTTCTGGGGGGGTCTGCCCGGATTTTATGGGGGCCCCACTCACAGAGCAGTGGCCTGTGCCACAGATTACGGTTCAAGGTAACCCCAAGTTGAGAGCTCACTCCTCAGCTCTGTCTCTGTAGTTGACTTCCCTGCTGTAATACCTGCAAGTTCTGTGACACTCAGACACCCCCAGTCCTTCTGTGACCCTGCAGGACCTGGGGCCACGCCGTCCGCACGTGGGCTTCACCCCGGTTTAGCCTCTGGAACGATGTCCCTCAGTGGACATCGCTTTTAAAAGTCCTGATTTTGTGCTCCATTGCTTGCCAGGAGCCGGACCCTCCCCCCTGGGGTCTATCTTCTCATCGCTTTGGATTCACTTCTCCGTGGGTCCTACCTTTCAGAAAGTTGTCAATTTTCTGTTTCTAGAACTGTTGCTCTTCTTCTCTTCGATCTCCTGTTGGATTTGTAGGTGTTCGGAATGGTTTGATAAACGATCTAGCTCCTCTCCTGCTACCTGATGTCATCTCAGCCTGCTGCTTCTCCGCCATCTTGACTCCTCCGTCCCTTTGGATTTTTAATGTTTGTACATTTTGAGGACTCAACTAAGTAATATACACCAAAATTCAGAGGATGTATCCAGAGAGAATTAACAGACACGGAAAGATAAGGCACAAAACAATTACGTTACTAAACATGTCCGGATCCCCAGTGTTGGCCTGACTCTGTGGGAACTGGCGCCACACCAGTGTCCTTGGGGTGGTGTCTTGAGGAAAGCAGTTTGTCCTAGGATGAGTCCTACCCATAAACACGGTAGTGCCATCTGGTGGCGCTGGTCTTTGCAACCCTGGGAACCATGGCGAGGATAGAAGTTAAAGGAGAATAGAGCTTCATGACAAAAGACATTTGTCATGGGATCACTGAGGGAAAGATTGGAAACGGGTAAGGAAGTTCTGTCAGTTCTGATCCTGCAGGCAAAGAAAAACGGTTAAGGAAAGGCTGTAAGAATAGCTTTGATCCTACAGTCCAATTATAGTCCGGTGAAAGTGTTTCCTGTGTCAGGATCAATTGTATGAGGGGACAGATAAGAGGAGGATGGCCACATGGGCAGATGATTGAAAATCACACCCAGTGTTGGGTTTTGTCTGATGAAAACAATTGTCCCTCACAGACAAGAAGTGGAAGAAATGGAAGATCAGCTGCTGGAGGCTGAGCTCACCTTCAATCACCAGGTAACCTGAGTTGTGCCCAACACACTGACCCCTTGGCGCCCCTGCAGGTGATGGAAGTGCCCTTTAGAGCCCTGAACATGGGCTTTTGGTGTGTTGGCTTTTTTCAGATCGCAGTTCAGGAGAGAAATGCTCTGGCTAACTGGGTAAGTGTTGTCTTTTTCCTCGTCTTCGTTTGGGGCACAGTCGGGCACAACCGAAGGTGGCTGTGTTTTTCTCCCGCAGATGAAGGCTCGGTATTGGGAAACAAGGATGATGCAGCAGAGCAGGGAGAACGCCTACCTGAAATACAGGTGTGAGAGTCTGACGTGCGTTTTGCGTTTGTTTGGAGAGGTGACGGCTATGCTGTTTAGTGCCTAGGAGAGGAGGTGGTGTTGTCATTCTTAGAGATGTCCATTCTTTCTCTGTGGTCAAGACTGCGCATGATGGAAGGGGAGACGCTGCCTGTGGGATCCATGCGGCGCGGACCCATGCCTGGAAGGCCCAAGTTGCAGGAGCCTGTGTGGCAAGGTAGGGAGCACGATGGGAAATGCAGCAGCCTGATTTCTGCTGTGAAACCACACGGGGTCCTTCCCGTTGCTGTGGGTGATCGCTGTGTGTCCTGGAGAGAATCACAAGCCTGCAGGTTGTCTGAAGAGGTGACAGGAGGGTGCTTTCCTCATATGCCCCCAGGCAGCAGGACACTTGTCCCCGTGATAGGTGGCGCTCACGCCGCTCCACACCTTCCCCCCTGCTGCCCCCTTTGGAAGAGCTGAGCCTGAGAAGGTGGGAGCCGAGCGCCCTTCCCACCTTGACTCAGTGGTCAAGCCTTGGCAAAAAAAAAAAAAAAGACTATTTGTGAAAAAGGGCATTTATTTACTCGTTATGGAGGTTCCTATATTTTTGTTTTATTTGTCATCTATAGGACCATATTCAGCAATGAATTATCTATTACTCCTCTCATGTTATCCGTGTAATGCCATAGATTTATTGCTCAATCTGCCTATGTTTTCTTTGTTCGTGACTATACGAATGTCTGTTTCTTCCCTGAAATGTTTACTTGTTGGCCAGTCACGCATGCTAAGTCTCATCTGCAGGATGGAAAAATGAACCATCCACCTGTGGCCTGAGAAGAGGACACACGTGCGTGTGCCTGGCTATTTGGACACACTGAGCAGTGAGCAGGTGCCATTGTTGGGAAGGAAGTGTCTCCGTTGCACAACGGCAGACATCTGTCTCTAACCGTCGTGCACATCCAGCATCCACCTATGTTGTTCTGGGAGGGATGAAGCACCTCTCCCTTCATCTGCAGCGTGTGGGGTTTAAGCTGTCATTTCCTTAGTTGTGTAAACGCCTGACACAGGGCTGCGGTCCCTTCATTGTTCACTAGCGTAGGGGTCTGCCCTTGTCCTCTGCAGTCTGGAAACTTGTGGGTAACGCTCTTGTCCGGCCGGGGAGGGGAGAATGAGAAAAAGTGGCATATGCCGGAGGCAGGTGTAGAGGGTTCGTTGGCATGTCGCTCAGTCACTTCCAGGGGGAGAAGCTTCTGTCTTTCCCATGGCGTGGGTCAGATACAGATGCTGGAGCGTCCTCCACAAGGACCAGCGGTGCTGCCCACAGGCCTCTCGTGTCATGGCGGAGCGAAGGCTGCTAAGGACATGGTAACTTTCTTCCCGTTGTTCTGTAGATAGAATTGATGGACCTTGTCTTCCAGTCATACTGAGGGGGTTGGCAGGTCCCTTGTGGTGACAGAGAGCTGCCCTTCTCCGAAAGCTGGGCACAGCAGGTGTCGCACGCGGTAAGGAGACAGTGCTGTGTGCTCTGGGAGGGTTGAGGCCTGCTCTTAACGTGAGGAATTGAGGGTGTGTGTCTGAGAGAAGGGAGGGACGCACTGATGAAAGGGCATAGCCGGTGTGTTCCGTATAAGGGAAGAACCAGAGACGTATCCAGAAGGAAGGGAGGGAGCCCCGAGTCACACAGAAAGAAGAGGTTGTGGCTGCCGAGAAGGCTGGAGGTGCTCAGGGAGAGGCTGGGCTTCTCTCAGGGAGGGTGAGGCCGTTCCCGGCAGGCCGGCAGCTTGAGAGTGAGTGTGAGGACACCGTGCGGTCCACACCGGCTGCTGCATGTGTTCACTCACACGGTGTGGATCACGCCGTTATTTGTCTCAGAATGTCGTTTTTGCCGTGAAGCCATTCACTCACAGTCTGTGAAGAGCGTTGTTTCCCTGAGTTTCTGAAAATTCTGAACCCTGTGAAAAAGTGTCGTGGAGATTTGGAAAATTTAACTTGTCTTTGGGGATTCTTGTCTGGCTGACTTTACGTCCCCCAGTGAGAAAACGTGAAGTCGGGACCGAGACCCAGCGAATGTGGCCCTCGCCTTACCCCGAGTCAGACCATTCGTGGGGGAGTCAGGGTTGGCCCGGAGCCACCCTAGCTGGAGCCCTGTCACCAGGCCTCTGCATCTGCGTCACCACCCTGCCTGCAGCTGTGCACTTCCCCGGGACTTCAGTCCCAGTGTCCTTCGGATTTGCCTGTGTTCCTGATTTCTCAGCCCAAATACCAGCTCTCGGTGGGGCCTTCTCAGGGCCCCAGCTTTTATTTTAATCCGTGATAGAGAGAGCATATGGGATTCTGAGGTCACTAGAGCAGTAGGAGTTGAAGTACATAAAGAACCTGCAGGGGCCCCTGGGCGGCTCAGTCGGTTAAGCAGCAGAATCTTGATTCCTGCTCAGGTCATGATCTCGAGCTTCTGAGATTGAGCCCCAAGTCGGGCTCGGTGCTGAGTGTGGAGCCTATCTGGGATTCTCTCTCTCCCTCACCTTCTCCCCCTTCCCTCTTCGTCACAAGTTTGTCCTTTCTCTGTCTCTGTCTCAAAAAGAAAAAAAAAATAATTGGCAAAGTATCTGGGTACTGACCATTCACTGTTCTCACTGTTTGAATGAAAATAGCTCCATGCCCATGAGCATCAAAATATGTTCATTTAAGTTCACAAAATACATAAAGAGGGTAATACCTCAGCCCAGGTAGTGGCAATTCTCATTTCAAAGACCAGGCAAAGAGCCCCCTTTTTTCTATTAAATGTCAGGTCTAGCCACAATGAAGTAAAAGATAGTTAAGAGAACAGGTACAATCAGAGATTTCTATGTGAGATGTGAAGACAATTATTGCCTATTACATACAGACTCGCAGATGAGGCCACACACTCAAGTGTTCATCCAAGGCCTCAGATACACTATGCGAAGCAGCGAGCATTTAGGAAAACATAAGGTCTCATTGTACTAACCCCAATCCTTTTGCCTTACAGGGTAATCATTTTGTAATGTGAAGACTTCCTTGATCTCCTACAACCAGGCTCCAAGGAGTTTGTATTTAGTAAACATATGAATATTTTCTGCCTGGTGGTCTGAATGCTTTCCCTGCCCATCCTGTCCCCTGTGCTTTGTCTCTCCTGGTATCCCCCCAATAAACTGTTGACGGTTCTGTCTCTGTGTCAGCATCTCCCTTCAGGGGGACCGACAGTCCCTGTCCTTCGAGGGCACAGGGTGAAGCCTTCAGACACAGATAACACCCTGGCAGCAGTGGGGGGACGGAGCATAGAGCAAGATTACCCTTCGTGGTACCTCTACTGCAAGGGACCCCAGGAACCCTTCTGGGGCTGGGGCCCAGATTGAATTTAGATCTGCTGGTGTTTGTATTCACTCTGGTGACAGATCCTCTTGAGCACATGGACCCTGCTAGTTTGGGGGGGGTAGTGATCAGCCAGGCAGGTGGCTGTCCCCAGGCAGTGGTCTGCTGTGACAGTGAGCAGAGAAGGAAGTGTCTGGAGAGGCCCTGAGAGCCTGGTGAGGAGGCCCTGCATTAATCCAGGTTTTGTGCAGGGTTTTCACCTTACCAGCTGCCCCCCAACCACAGGGGGGCCTTGAGGGGAGCTGATGGTGGCAGTTTTCTTGGTGAGACCCATGATGCCCCTCAGTCCTCCCACAGTTTCCCTGTTGAGGGATGGGCAGGGCAGAGGTCCCTGAGAGGAGACCCATCCCATCTTCAGCAGCAGGAGGAGTTGGGGGTATGCTTCTGTCCCCTTTTAGGCCCTTTTTGCCCATTCCTTCTGCAGCAGAGCTGCTGGATCCTGCAAAGCCCTCCTCCTTCCCAGGTCATGGACGCAGCCATCCTCCAGCAGCTTTGGGGTCATGGCTGGGCCACCGAAGTATCAAGGTCAGTCTGTCCACATGCTACCCAGGAGCGGCTGGTAACTGTACTACGGCAGTCACTGTCCGCCTGAGCAGCCTTTGTAAATGGCATTGTCACGCCCTGTGGCAGGGCCTGGGCCGAATGAGGGCAGGAGAGAGGGGGAGACAGGAGAGGTGGTTCCCTGTGGGGTTCCTGGACAGAGCTGCACTGAATGGAAGGCCTGAGGGTCTGCGGAGTGATAAAGAGGCTGTCAGGGTGAGACGCTGAGTGAGTGGTGGGGGGTTGGGCAAGTGCTAGCAAGGGACAGGAAGTAAGGGGGACAGGGTAGAGAGAAGCAGAGACAAAGAATATCAAGGATGGAAAGAGGCTGCTGGTCTAGGTGTGTGGAGCTGGAGCATGGACCGGGGTGGAGGAGGTCTAGGTAGGGGCTCTGAGCATTTGGACCAGAGAAGGTGGGAATCCTGGGCGTGAGATTTCCCTGAGCCCATAGCTCAGACCTCTCTGGGGCTGAACTGTGCAGAGGCCGTTTCCCTTGGGAAGATGGGCCCACCTCTTTCTGCATGGGGTTGTGGGGCGGAGCCTCAGGATCTGTCAGGGAGAGAGACAGCGCCCTCTGTCGCTCCAGCTGAGATGCCATGACTTGGAGCATTGCCGGGATGCCCAGGGTGACCAGCAGAGGGAGCCTGTGCACCTCCAACAGGAAGGGGGTGGTTTCTCTGCGTGCTCAGTCATGGCCAGCAGAGGGCGCGCCATCGGCTTTTCTGACCCAAGGGGCCTCAGGAGGGAGGGCTACTGCAGCCGCCCAGGGATCCAGCTCCAGTCTCACCACCCCAGGATGGAGAACCA